GATATATGGATCAACACACTGCTTATAAACAAGTCCGTGCTTTTCCACACAAGGTGTGGGCCATTCGTGTGGGCAGAAACCATACTGGCGTCAGACAAAGCGTCTGCGCATGCCCAGTACTGAAAGCAGCGCCACCGCAGCCGCGTGCCGTCAGGGAGTTGATTGGGTGTATACGACCGGGCTCTTGTGAATCCACAAAATGCACGTTCGCGGCACTGGACGGGTAACAATCGTCTTGTAGACTACATTACCAACTACAGAAATAAAATATCATAATCTAAATCCCAAGACAAGAACAGGAGGGCGCTTCAGCTTCGCCTTTAAGAGTGGAACGCGATAGCGAAACATATAAGCGTTTAAACTGCAGCTCGTTCCCAAGTCGTGCAAGCGTGCCTTGGGTGGCCCAGTCAGCATCGTGTCTGGTTCGCAACCGAAGGGTGGTGGGTTCAGATCCCGCCTAAAATTCTTCAATTTGTTTCTTTGAGTTTACTTTATAAAAATAATCATGTGAGACATGCAGCGTCCTTTAATTCGCTTTATATGTCATGTTATAATCACTTTCATTGCACTCGTGAGGTCACGTTTCACATGAGCGTTGTGGGTTTGAAATTCCCGCCCGAGGTCACCTGCTTTGACGTCATGACCGTATCGACCTATCCTGCATTTTAGCGCACGCCACCGACGACGGATTTTCTGCGACACGAGCTCGTTAAAACTGTCGCGTTACAAATATTCGGCAGAGGTGTGGGAATGCGAAAGGATGGCTTACGCACTGGGCACACCTTTAGTGAGTCAGAACCGTGGAGCCGCCGTGACGTCGAAGAAGCCTGTCGGGCTCACACCCCGGAGGCCCGGGGTCGATTCCCACCCAGGCTGGAATGCACCAAATCTTCGTTTGAAAGCCATTGATTTATGGTGATAATGCAATTAAGGCAAAGGCGCAAGCGAGCTGGACAAGAATGACGATAATAATCTCTGGACCAGAAATTATCGTAATTCTTGTCCAGCTCGCTTGCACCTTTGCATTAACTGCGTTATCATTCATTATAAGCTTAAAATGCAGGATATTCACCCTTGTTGGTGTTAGACTGGTGGCGGCTGATAAAACCCGTTTGCTCTACTGACGTCAAAATTCATGGTTAGTTCAGTTGGTAGGGCGGCTCCACTGGAAATGCAGAGGTTTCCTGGTTCGATACCAGGACCAGGCGGATTTTGTTTCGGTAGCGCACCAATCACCTAGCTCTGTTTACAGATGTGGGTTTGTCCTTTGTCTCCCTGGCGATAATAATCCCCGGAGGAATTATTATCGCCAGGAATTTACTTTGTTTACATGAACCTCTCCGAGAAATTTGACGTCAATCCGAGCATTTTTGACGAGTTTTTACTCTTTACGCCGTCGGCCATTTCTAGCACCATCGCTCGGTCACGCCGCCGGCGACACCGGATTTTCGCGTTATGAGGCGTTTAAGGGTTTCGAATTTATAAATAATCGATAGCAGGACACAGACTTCCTGTTGCGATATTGTGTAATTTTGTCCGGTATTTTCGGAGTAGAAAAATTTTTTTTTTCAAGTATATCAAATTTATCTGTTTTAGATAAGATATGTTTGATTTAAATCGAATTGATTTTTAATAAATCACTGTAAAAAAATATAAATTTTTGTTAAATTCTAGACATGGCAGATTGCTTGATAAATTCGTCCGTTCGCTAAAAACAATTCCAAAGAGAGAATTATAGTAAATTTACACTTTTGATGTACGGTTTACTTACCAACTTTTTATTGATGTAATTCGCGCAGAGAGAAAGATACAAGAGAAAGAGCGCTAACAGCTTTTCCTTTCGCGCACAGATATTTTCAAAAATGACTTCAGTGCCCCTTTAAAAGTAAAGATTTACTGTCCCCCCCCCCCCCCCCCCCCCCCCGCTCTTAAGTATTTTCTTATAAGTGCCATAATTACCCGTTCACCTGACCTTTTGCCAGTTTACCTGAGCATTAATTTTTTTTTCATATTTAATTGGTATGCGGGTGCATTATAATTCAAAGATATCTCACAATTATAGAGTTAACTTTCGTAATCGTTCTCGCACTACCTGTGGTACAGAATATATGGCGGACAATCGGATCAGCTGCCGATCATTAGACTTTGTAAAAGCTTATGACTACAATCTACCCTTCGCCCCAAGGATAAGTACAGTTTTCTTTTATTTATTTGAAATACTATTAGCCCTTCATTGAGGGCCATACCGGATAGGGTTTACAGTATAGGTTACAAATATGCTTTGTCATTTGTATTGGTTGTCGTTACTTGGAAAAGAAGGATCAAGGGACCTTAAGTTCGGTTATTTTAACAGCAGAGTGCTGGAATCTTCGAAAGATAAAACAATCTCTGTATTAAAGGGGTCATGAAACGATTTTCCTACTTCTTCCGCCTTAGCTTTGATCCTCAACTCAAACGCGGATTGCGAAATCACGTCGTCGTGACATTCTTCGGTGCCGGTGCGATGACTCCTAGCTTCCACCGTGCTTTTTATGCACAGCATAGAACTTGTCATTCCCCAGTGACGATAAGTTCCGTCAGGGCACTCATTGGCCACGAACGCGAATCCGAATATTCGTCGACGGAAGTATTGTTGACGAGCGCATACGTCCGAGTGACGCAGTTCTTGTGTCCAATGCGTGAGTTGGGCTCGGCTGACGTCAGGTTGACACCGCTGACGCACTTTGGGAACCGCGGATGTATCATAGTGAAGAGGCGGAGAGCTTTCGAAGGAAAGAAGGTACCAAAATAGTCCGCTATGTTTTCAAATGTTCGTAAAGAAATTGAAGGATTTTGGCTTTCTATCCTCTTCCTCTTGACCAACTAAACGATATGCGATTAGTAAAGTCCCAATTTAAAATATTTTATCTCAGCACAAAATTTGTTTCACAGCCCCTTTAACAAAAAAAAAAAAAAAAAAAAAAAAGAAAATTGCATTTTGATTTTTTTTTTAAATTTTTTCTTGCAAAAGGAAATGCTTGAAAGTGTCTATTCCGCGAGCGAATATTTGGATACTGTTTAAAGGGGTACTTGAACGAAATTTGAAATATACCCGTTGTGTTCACACATGGGTTGAATATGATCACAATATCCGTAAATGACAATCGGACGTTTGTATTTTGAGCCTAATGGCTGTATTTTTTGCTGTAAACGGCCCACTCTGGCAAGCGCTTGGAGAACAGCCAGCGGAGACCACGTGACATCCAACGCCGTCGTGACGTAGGTCGTCTCGGGACGAGCAAAGCTACGGCGAGACTGACGTCGAGAGAATGGCCTTGTCGTTCCAGCCATCGAAGCGGCTGCTTTTGTACGAATTTTGAGTGACGGGTTAATCTTCTATAATCTTTTAGAGGGACAATAGCGACTTCTGCGACACACAAAAGGGATTTTCGGGAAGAAGGGAGTTCCTCCTTCTTCTCTTCTCTCGTCGTGGCCGGAGGCGAGACAAACGTCGTCACTATCTGCCAATGTTCCTAGACGGGCATTACAAACGAGGCGTTAGCGACAACCACCAGGTGCTCTTTGAGAATCGTTTAATTCGTTTTAAAATTCTTTTTCGTGTCTTTGTTAACAGGATATTGGTGTGTCTGATGTGATACTGCTCCTTTGAACACATATAGACCAAAAAATAAGCTCCGAAATTTCGTTGTATAGTATCCCTTTAAAGTGATTTAGTGCGACACCTTTTTATACTTGCGAGGCGAATTTAGGTCATAAAACTGCTGGTCGCGCCTCTACTTTTTTTTTCTCCGGAGTACCGTTTATACAATGGCGCGTTAGGGTCAATCTGTGCTGCTGTCGCAATCATTTTTTTTTAGCTTTGGAATAATTACAGAGAGCATCGAACTCGTGCCCTATCACTAGTCAGCCTTGCAAAGCTGATCGTGAACCTGACTGAATTTCCCCCATATTTGCATTGCTAGCAGACTTGTATTTATTGTTTTGAGGTGTGTCTTTAGTTATACTGACAGACCGTATTTGTGGATAAATACTTTTTTTTTGCGTGTTCTTCTTTTGAATTATAGTATATTTTCACCTCAACGCCAAATAGATAAAGGAATAAATGAATAATTCCGCGATTCATTCGAAGCGTGGAACAAGCCACAAAACATTTCGAAGACCTCCAAATCTGGGGTGCCTAGTTAAGAAACATTGAGGCGGGAGTACTACCAAGCGTACTAAGCCGTGTAGTGTAGCTACTGGGCTAGGCGAAGCGAGCAGCTTTTGTGACCACTTGCTCGGGCAATTCCCGAGATTCATTCATATACAGGAACTCTCTTCCAAGACGTATGTAGGCCATATTTTAAAGAGGCAGCTCTCGCGGCGTGGCACAGCGATTCGCTTCCTAGTTGCGCTGTTCGCTGCTTGGCTTCAGCGATCAAGGTCATCTTCCGCGCTCCACATAGTGCCCGTTTCTTTTTCCCCCGACGCTTTCAGCGAAAGTAGAAGCACTTGGTTAAAGTAAGAGCGAAAGCAGGACCGCATACAACTATAGTCCATTTCACCTTACGATGGACCACACCAGGGGCTACACGCTATCTCAGCCAATCCAGCGCTGGGAATGTATCACGTGACTAGACGCCGCTCGTCCGTCCCCAAGGTCGCGTGATACAGACGCGGCATTGTATTGGCTGGGGATAACTCGTAACGCCCGTTGCGGTCCATCGTAGGTTGTAACGAAGTATATAAACCTCAGGTACGGGGAAACAAAAAGTGCAGCACACCGCTCCTTCCAAACAAAAACCTGCGGTAAGCAACAACGATAAAAGAAAACATCGCGTCAAACGCATGCCCCTTTCCACGACCGCTTTCGGAGTGCGCGACTGCACGTTTCAAGGCCTTCGCGAGTTCTCCGTGTATGTGTGCGTGTGTCTCTTGCCACGCGGGTCCCTCACCCGGAAATGACGTCACGAAGCGTGGAAAGCCGGCTCGCTCCACTCTCAGATATGATATCACCCCCCGCCCTGCCCCGTTCCAAAGAAAAGTCGCCGGCCTGTCGTTTCACCGGTACGGTAGGCAGGCAGCTTCGGGCGTGTCGTCCGCTGCGTCAGCGGGAGGCTACAGCTGTGCGTTTCGCTTGAGCGTCGTATCTGCTGCGTCGCTGCGCTGCAACAAGCTGCATTGTGTTAGCGTGTGTGGGGGGGTATCTGTGGAGGTGTGACAGGCGTTCTTCAAAGCGTGTCAGCGTTAACCACCGAGCGGTCCCGTCGTCTGCTACGATTCTCGTCGTCTGCGGAGCGCCGAGTCGTCTGCTACGAGCGTCGTCGTCTGCGGAGGCTCCGGATTCGGATTTAGATCGTCTCGTAGCCAGCTTCTTTAGGCTAGATTGGATTGTGATAACGGTGGTGAGTGTTGTGGTTCTTGTGGCTGTCGGGTGCTACGTTGTTTCATTCAACGATCACTTCGCCGCCGCAGTGTTCTTTTTAAAAGCTACCGGTGTTAAAAGTGTGTGGGCTGTAAGCATCCGGGAAGGAAGACAGCAGCCGGTTTCGTCTTGTGGGTATAGTCTGCATCGCAGTATCGTCGTGCGGCAAAGCAGCGCATGAAATGTTTCCTGTGTGAAGTGAAAGTGTGTACTCTGAGAGTGTTGTGAGTGAAGTGTTGTGAAACTTTCATCGGACGCGCGCACCTTGTTTACCTGCAAACATGGTGAGTAGCGTGTTGTGACGTTTCGGTTCACTTTGTTTTCTCATATACTTTGCCGATCTCAGTTTATACAGTTTTAAACATCGAGATTTGTTGAAGTCGTGTCAACGTTTTTCATGACGCCACATAGACCGGTTTCGGAATGTGGATACAAACCTTGTCCTTCGGTTTGTAAGCTGGTAATTCGTCTGCGTGAATAGATGGTTGTTGAGATTGCGCCACTAGGATACATGAGGCAATATTACAGTTCTGAGATAAGACCTCGCTGCGCTATCAGCGCAACTTTCACAGTAGGGTGTACCTAGATTGACTTTTCACGCTCTCCACTGTCGTTTAGTCATCGCCACAGAACGTTCCTTCGATATATTTACTTTATGCTTGTCTGTCTGGCTGTGTGGGTCGGTAGTGAAATCATCGATGGGAAGTTTTGAAATGCGTCGTAGGAGGCTCGGCAGTGACTGCTCTTTCAACAATAACAGAACCCTTTCAGTCTGCAATGAAAGAATATAGTCATTTTGTGCCACGATGCGTGTAATGTTTCAGGTATAACGCGCTCGCGAGTTATTAGTGAGTGACGAAGCATCTTTGAGCACGTCGATCTCCCCTGAAAGAAGGAAGAAATATAGAACGAAACCTCTGTCCTTTAATTATGCATTAACTTAATTATATGCTAAAATTGAGGTAATTAATCTGTGCATTAAATGGACATGGTATTGGGATGAGCAACAGGAAATGGAGATGCCTTCGACTTTTGTTCTAAGTTATCTTTAGGAAACCACTTTCGATCAAATCCAGTTAAAGATTTGTTTATAACCGCCCCCCCCCCCCCACTTTTTTTTTTCCAAAACGAAAAAAAAAAAGAACAAAATGTATTTTAACCGCAAAAGTAAACTGCGTATTGTAGAAAAGCACCTATAGCTTTTGAATAAGATAACGATTAGTTTTCAAACTTTGGTATCTGGTTCGAACCGCTAGCTCTATATTTAGGCGAAGAACGAGTCCAAAGTGCCTATCATATATATATATATATATATATATATATATATATATATATATATATATATATATATATATATCTCGGCCTCGACGGCACCGCGCCCCGTGCAACCAACCTCTTCTGCGCTCTCCTCGCGCGACGCAGCAGAGGCTGGTTGCACTATTTCTTCACGGGGTGCGGTTGGCGCGGTTGTCGTCGGGGAGATGCGCTCCAATAGCAAACCGAAACTTAAAAACCCGTCGAATTTTAACTTGAGGAAGAAAATGAGAAGGGACGGACAAACGCAAAATATACGTCCCTTCTCATTTTCTTCCTCGAGTTTAATTATTCATAACAACCCGCTTGTTCTGTCCTTCCGTCGAATTTGTGCTGTTTTTCGGAAAGCCGTAAAATCAGGGACTCAAACCGTAACCGTAACCGAAACCGAAAACCGTTTAGGAACGAAATTTTTTCTGTAACCGTAACCGGAACGAAACCGTTATTTGATACTTATAAAAACCGTAACCGTAACCGGAACCGCAAATTATTCACCGGTAACCGGTTTTAACCAATATTAACCGAAAAATAAACTATTCGTTTTTCTGAAGTATGACCTGGGGGAGGGATCTTAAATTGTTGTGGCCATTTGACAGAGTTACTGTCAGCGAGTGGTGCATCTGGTTACATATTTCCATTCAATCTGACTTTAGGATTAAGAATACTCAGATTGAATTAGTGGTCGAGCTTATAATTAAAAAAATTCTATATTTCTAAATCTGCCACACTCCTACATCGCTACATGTATTCAGTACGTGTCGCTTTCAGTGTATTAACTAATAAGTTCGAATTCTCAGATGTCCATCCAACTCGGTTCTATCAAAACCACCGATGTTCCTGACATGCAGTAGCCAGTATAAAGAAACGAGGTAAATTGGCCATCATGCAGAGCTGGCGGAAAAGAAACCTGTGCCCGTTTGCTCGAAGCGCTAACCGCGGCTAAAGTTAGCAGCAGTACCTAGGAGAGGGAGTTTGAAATCACGTGACTGGGGGCTGGGATGCCGGGAAGCATGGCGGCGCCCCGGTGCGTGAGCGCCGCTCGCTTTGCAACTAATATGTCGTTGTAGCTGCACTATCGGGCGCGTTAGTCAGCAACGAATGGTTCAGGAGGCTTTCGCTTTGCCTTACCTCGCTTAAATCGCAAAGCACGAGCAATGACTTCGCGGCATTTGTTGCATAGTCTTTTGATTCTGGCCTTTCTAAGCCTAAATGAACGCGATAAGTGTCGGCATGGCAACGTCTTTGGAAAGCGGATTGCCTTGACTCAATCGACCGGATATTAATAGTACACAAAAGAAGACCAGCGTCCCGCCCCGACAGACCTTTTTCTAAATTACCCAAGCATCGAGAAGAACGCTGGAAGTGTAATTCTATGGTCCGCGCTCGCTGTCCTTCCTCTTATAAAAGATTCGAAGTAAATAATCAGTATAAGACTTGGACGAACGCGCGTGCAAGGCAAAATTTGTTTTAGACTTTTTCCTTTAGAACGATAGGCCCGTAGATCACAAGTTTTGAGCAGCGCTGCAGGCGAGCAAAATAGAATATTTGGCTCGCGTTTCGAACGTGCATCAATACGCTTCCCCACTAGAGTTTTTTCTACTCAGTTCCATTCTAAGTTCCAGCGTAGCAGAGGCTACAAGAGCGAGCTGCGAGCTTTCCGCGTCCCTGCCAAGCACGCGCGCTCGTGCAGTGCGAGCATCGTTCAGGATGACGCGCTTTTCCGAGTAGCTTCGGCTTCACTATCACGTAAAGTGAAATATACGTGCTCGCGGAAGCTGTGAAAGAAAGCAAATATGAAAGGAATGTTTAATGGAACGCTGCGGCCTCAAGCAGCATAATTCTGTTCTTTTTTTTTTAACTTTTTTTAGACGTTTTGTTACCGAACATCTACAGATGCTGACAGCGGCTTGTATTCGAACGTGGCACGTGCAAAATCGAACGTTACAGCGCCACACGGATGATGCAGCCAGCAAAACTTGGTCGCGTCTTGCGTAAGTCTTCCGGACGCGCTCGCGCCCCCTGCCCAGAGCAACGGGTATATTACTACTGCATACGCCAGCACGCGCAATGCCTGCAACTACACTCGTAGCATGCACCTCGGTGCTTGGGAAATTTGTGTGCTATCAATACAAGGCCGATTGAGTCAAGGCAATCCACTTTCCAAAGACGTTTCCATGCATGCCGACAATTATCGTGTTCATTTAGGCTTAAGAATGGCCAGAATCGAAATACTATTTAAAAAATGCGGCCAGGTCATTGCTCATGCTTTGCGATTTAAGTGAGGTAAGGCAAAGCGAAAGCCTCCTGCACCATTAGTTACTGACTAACGCGCGCGATATTGCAGCTACAACGACATATTAGTTCCGAAGCGAGCGGTGCTCACTTTGCGGGGCACCGCCATGTTTTCCCGCATCCCTACCGATCCCTGTCACATGATCTCAGAATCCCTCTCCTAGGTACTGCGGCTAACTTTAGCCGCGGTTAGCGCTTCGAGCAAACGGGCCCTAAAGCCCCTGTATCCTGGGAAAAGTGGCGCCTTCATTGTTGTGGAAACGCGCGAGACACGTTCAGCGCGCCACTTCTGGAAAGAACATGGCGTCTGAAATCTAGCTCAGAGCTGCGCTGTGCCGCCATGACCTTCCCAAGGGATGCACGTTGCACGTGCCTCGTGCATCGACGCACTTTGCGCTACTTTTGAAACATGAAGGGGCTTTAATGGGCGCTGCTGTTCATTAATAATGTTTATGTTGTTTATTTAGTGTGAAACGTGTCGCGAGTGACGATTTTGAAACAACACAGAAAGAAAAAAAAAAGTCAGGGGTTTGACATTGGCGTTTTGTATTATATATACAATATATATATATATATGCTCGGGCTGAGAGTGGTGGAAGGAGCGAGGAAACGTCAGAAGGGTGTTCGAGTTTTTTTCTTTTCCTTCCCGCGCCGAGACCCTTCTTCAAACCGAGTGGCACCCGCCGCCTAAAGCCCCTTCATGTTTCAAAAGTAGCGCAATGTTCGTCGATGCACGAGGCACGTGCAACGTGCAGCCCTTGGGAAGATCATGGCGGCACAGCGCAACACTTAGCTATTTCAGACGGCATGAATTTCCCAGAAGTAGCGCGTCGCACGTGCCTCGAGCATTTAACAACAATGAACGGCGCCACTTTTCCCAGGATAGAGGGGCTTTACCGTCGCCGGCACTGCCACGCCTCTCAGCTTCTCAACATGACAAAAGAGAAAGCCAAGGAGAAGGATGCCTCCTCGTCAAACGCGCCAACGCGCCACCCTCGTCCAGCAGACATGGGATGCAATTTCTGCCTCCTTCGCCTGAACCTTGGGAGCTGCCCTGCTTCCAATCGTCGATGGCCTGGCCAATCTCGCCCCACACGGCCAGCAGTCTCAACAGTCTCTCTCGCAAACTGTGAACGCGAGCTATTCGAACGTCGGCACGGTGAGCTCGAACATCCACAGACGCGCCGAGAGATCGCTTCCAGCATCGCCGGAGGCCTCCCCCTGCCACCGCCGGAGGTATGGCTTCTACGAGAATCATTTCTACCAGAGCCACCAGTGCAATCCAACTACCTCTGATAGAGCCCCGACCACCCATGCCGGAGCGAGGGTCCGTCATGCCTACGACATTCTGAGCGACCTCGCCCAGGACACCATAGGTTTCTCCACAAGAGATGTCCATGAGATCAGGCATCTCCCCCGCCATCGGTTCTACTGGGATGACATGCTCCCCGAACACCAGCACCTCATTTTCGATAGACTGGAACTCTTCCGCGTCGTCGCGAGAGGGAACTGTAGGACGGTAGTCCTATCCCAGACGTCGAGGATTCGAGTCTCAGGTTTTCAGAGAGCTCCCCGACCAGCTACCCAACCAGCCTCGACGCGGACGCCACACGCCTCGTGCTCCCGCGCACACCAGCTACCGCCCAGACACCAAGTCGAAGAGGCCCCTAATCGTGAG